AAAATAAAATAAAATAAAAAGGGTAAAGTGACATAGAGGAATCAGAAGTGAGGTACAGAAACAGCGAGATTGCTTACAACTCTGTGTTTGCCTTATTTGAAGGTCAACATTCAGCAGTCTATGAGTGGTTGAAGTATGACCAATGGGATTCAGTAGTCTATGAGTGGATGCAGTATGACCAATGGGATTGGCCAACACTCAGTTATTGTTACAGGGACATACTATTAAGTTAGGTTTTCAATTTTGTCTGACTATTAAGCTAGGTTACAGTTCATCCACGAAGACTCAAATACAGGAGTACAGAGTCCTTCTGAGGCCATATTTAGTTTGCTTTAACAGTAGAAATATTAATTAGTAGCCTGGAAGATCAAATGGAAGAAAATCTCAAATCATAGCACAGAAATACAAAAAGGTGAGGGAATATAATCACTATATTATTATCAAAACTTACATATATTAATATAGTTAATTTATACTAACACCTATGAGTTAGCTATTATTACTCACTAAGCCATGTCACAGCTGAGGAAACTGAGGCTCAGAGGGGTAAGGAACAATCCCAGGGTTGCACAGCTGGTGTTCAGACCCAGGTAGTCGGGCTTCTGTGACTGTGCTGTTAAGTGCTGGTTTGTTGTTGTTGTTTTAAATTTCACTTAATTTTATTTTAAGTTTCAGGATACATATGAAGGATGTGTAGGTTTGTTACATAGGTAAACATGGGCCGTGGTGGTTTGCTGTGCTGTTGTTAATCACATATTTTTGCTTCTTAATGCCCATGCAATTTTGCCATGATAAAAGAGTTGGAGGATTGATCCAGGAGACCTAATTTAAGAAACAGAAATTCAAGAAGGAGAAAAGGAATTGTTGAAGGAAGTAGAGGAATTAAATAAACGATGAAGTTGAGGTGGGAGTAACACCTGAGTCGGAGGTCAAGGCTGCAGTGAGCTGTGATCATGCCAGTGCACTCCAGCTTGGGCAACAGAGTGAGACTCTGTCAAAACAAAGAGAGAAAGAGAGAGACAGAGAAAGAGAAAGAGAAAATGCTTCTGTGATTAAAAAAGACTTGTGATTTAAAAGGGCTCATTGAATTCCAACCTGGATTGAGAAAAAAGGCACACATCTAGAAATATCCTGTAAAAAGCCCTCAACTCCCAGGATAAAGAGAAATTTCTATAAGTTTCCAGGCAAAAAGAACAAATGACTTATAAAGGAGTATCAGACCTTCCTCAGGCTTTTCATCTACAACAATGGAAGCTAGAAGATTGCAGAATAAAATCTAATGACAATGAGAGTAAAAAGACCTTGGAATATTAGCCAGTGTGATGGTGGGCACCTGTAGTCCCAGGTACTTGGGAGGCTGAGGCAGGAGGATCGCTTAAACACAGCAGGCAGAGGTTGCAGTGAGATCACGCCACTGCACTCCAGCCTGGTGACACAGCGAGACTCTGTCTCAAAAAAAAAAAAAAAAAAAAAAAAAGAAGACCTTGGCCTGAGGATCTGGATCTGACACCCAGGCTGACAGGCCTTACCTATCAGGGTGAGAGACTGTTTTCTATGGATATGATATGGGTCAGAGAGTACCGCACCCACACAGTCTACTTGGGGAATTTATTCAAGAAGAGCCTTCGTCCAAGCAGCACGTGAATCAATCCCAAAGGTAGTATGTGCTTAAAAAATAATAAAGGCCAGGCGCAGTGGCAGTGGCTCACACCTGTAATCCTGTCACTTTGGGAGGCTGAGGTGGGTGGATTGCCTGAGTTCAGGAGTTCGAGACCAGCCTGAGCAACACAATGAACCGTCTCTACTAAAATACAAAAATATTAGCTGGGTGTTGCGGTGTGCGCCTCTAATCCCAGCTACTTGGGAGGTTGAGGCAGGAGAATCACTCGAACCCAGGAGATGGAGGTTGCAGTGAGCCAAGATCACGCCATTGTGCTGCAGCCTGGGTGACAGAGCAAGACTCCATCTCAAAAATAAATAAAAATAAATAAATAAATAAATAAATAAACCAAATGAATCAAAGCAAAAATCTCAGCGTAGTGAAATATGATAAAAAGAAGAAACAATAATAGTGAGACATAAGCCTAATACATACCTATTTACCTAAATTTAAATGAATACTGATAGAGCAACTAGGAAATTATTCTATAAATTTGGTTTTATGATTGTGGTGGGAGATTTAAAAACACTCCTTTTAATCAAATCTAAACAGACCAAAAAAATAGTGAAATCATAAATGAATGAAATATTTCATTAACAGACCCAATTATAGTGTTAACTCAATTATAGTAAGTGTAAATATTAATGTTTACAATGATAATAAAGGTTACAATGATAGGAAATGTACTCTATGTGTGGCAGAGGCACCTGGCAGCCTTAACTTAAGCGTACCCTGAGAATGACTACAGTCTTAGAAGAAACTGTTTTTGGAGTTACAACCTAAGGAATCTGGGAGTGGCCAACCTGGAGATTCACTCCCTGTGGTTTGAAGGACATCTGAGCTCCTGGCCCATCCTGTGGAATGCAGGCCACATAGGGGATCTAGGCATTTTTGTTTTGGGTTAAACGGAGGCTGCTAGGTGCATTCTTTTCACAAAGGGTAGCAGTCTTCCTGTCCAACCCACTGCCACTGGACTGTCCATATTTGTAAATGCCCCCAGTAAACCCTTTGTCTCATTCGCTCTCTCTGGATCTCTTTTTGGCCCCTCAGACACAGTGCCATTCCTACTAGAGTCAGTCGGGGTCTGGCACAACACCCTATAAATAGAGAGAGTGAAAATAAGGCTGCTCTCCTGCGTAGAAAGAGACCCCACCATCTCAGGGACACCAAATGCTCCTCTTAGGGAACATTCTTCTGCTCACTGACCTTTAAATCAAGATGAGAAATGACTCCTTTGGTTTGAGGTTTTGTTCTCTGTTCAGAGATCTCTCAGAGAAGTCTTTAAACTATGGCCATCACCTTCCCTTCAACAGAAGTCTGCTTGTTAAATTCTATCCTGAGAAGAGATTTAGTAAGGGATAAATGGGGAGAGTATAAATTCAAGGGAAGGGTACCTAAGGGAGTGAGAGAGGTGAGGAAAAGACCCTAAAGCTATTAAAAAGGGTAGTTCTGACCCACCTCAAGCCCAGCTTGCCTGCCTCCCAGGCTGGGGTACATACTCCCAGCCCTTCTCTCTCTGCTCCCATTTCTTCCTGTTCTTCCCTATCTCTTCGTGCCTACATTTCAATTGTTAAGTTAATGGGGGATGGGACAAAGCATTTCTTGTTCCTTCAACCTAATTCCTGAGAGAAGCAGCTGCTACTTAAGAAATTTCTCAAGCTCAGAGCATAATTAAGTGCGACTTTTAGCCCTGGAAAAAAAAAAAATCTGAATTTCAATTTGGGAGCTCCTGAGCGAGCAGTCTCCTTGACATTTGAAAGCTCAAACCTTATCTGGAGCAGCCCTTTGGAGGCTGACAGACCTTGTTGAACTTGAACCATTTCAGAACCCACCGTAGGGTTATTTTTCATTCCTGTTTTTCAATTACACAGCAGCAGAAGATTCAATTAGAATGTGAGGGCTTTTTTTCATTAATCCGTAGAAGCTTAAGTGACCATATTTTACAGAGAATACCGTAAACTAAATATTGCACTGGATCTCTTTCTTATGTTAGTTTTCTCTTGCTATTATTAAAATGCAAGGAACATCAGAACCCAGAAGCCTTAGGGTTCACTCAGGTGTCAAAACCTCCACAAGCATCTCGTCCCACTGCTTCTCTGCTCTGCTGTGACCTTTGAGAGCCTCGGTTTTTCCCCAGCTGCATCTGTTTCTAGCCTCTTCCCCTAGCGCATTTGTATATGTATTACAAGAATAACCTCACTGTGGATGTCAGTATTTTTCCATTATAACAATTGCTCTGCTTGGGTGCATTTACACAGACATACCATTTTTAAAGTACAAAAACATTATGTCAGATATCTTGTACACATTTTTCTCTATCCTTATGCAAACATGTAAGCTTAGTATTGTTATTCCCATTTCTCAGATGATGTTCTGGTTATCTGTATGTACCATGTTTTGTTTATCCATTCATCTGTTGATAGATATTTGGGTTTGAGAAAGAAAACAACATTTTTGCCGGGCGTGGTGGCTCACACCTGTAATTCCAGCACTTTGGGAGGCTGAGGTGGGCAGATCACCTGAGGTCAGGTGTTCAAGACCAGCCTGGCCAACATGGTGAAACCCCATCTCTACTAAAAATACAAAAATTAGGCAGGTGTGGTGGTGCATGCCTGTAATCCCAGCCGCTTGGGAGGCCGAGGCAGGAGCATTGCTTGAATCCAGGAGGCAGAAGTTGCCGTGAGCCACTGCACTCTAGCCTGGGCAACAGAGCAAGGCTCTGTCTCAAAAAAAAAAAAAAAAAAAGAAAAGAAGAGAAAACATTTTTATATGAGGAATGTGAGCCCCCTTAACTACCAGGCCCAGAGAGCACTGAAATGTGACAGTGTCTGACAGCAATCATTCTCACTCCCCCCTTAAGACAAATAATTACCTCTTGAAGCCACTTACTATGCAGGTTCTAGACTAACTGATGCCAAGTAGCCATAAAATGCCCCATGCTAAACACCATAACTCATACTCTACATTTCAACCATGCATAGGCAATTGCTAATCAATGTTGTTTCTGCAAACCAGTGAGAATTCCTGTCAAACAATTTTGTATCCACCCATTTCTTACTCTCTTTTGCCTTTAAAAACCTGCTTGTAACCAATGGTGAATGGACCACTCCCCAAAGCAACTTGGAAGCCAGCTGCCCTCAACCTTGGCCCAAATAAACTGTCTACATTCATTTTGCCTCAGATTCTTTAGGTCAACGTTTTGTTTCCATCTCTTGGCTATTGCAAATAATTCTGCTATGAACATGGATGTACATTCAAGTTCCTGCTTTTAATTCTTTCGGATATATACCTAGAAGTAGAATTGCTGGATCCTAACAGTAATTCTGTCTAATTTTTTGAGGACCACCATGCTGTTTTCCATGGTAGCTGGACCATTTGACATTCCCACCAACGATGCTCAAGGATTCCAACTTCTCTGCATCCTTGCCATCCTAGTGGGTATGATGTGGTATCATCTGCTGCTTTTGAATGGTAAGTACCTAAGAGAAAAAGCAGCCCCCAATGTGAGGCTCACCTCTCTGGGCTTCCCTTCTCCCTGGGATCTTGGCCCATCAAGTCCTCATTGCCTTTGGTAGTTCCCTAGTACATTCACACCTATTTCAAGAACATTTTGTCCAGCTTAGAGTTGTACTCACTAGGAGTTTGGTTGAAACAAGCCATTGCTGCCCCTTCCACACTTCTGGAAAAAAATATTAATGCCCTAACTCCTTGCATCATGAGGTTCTAAGAAACCTATAAGGTCATTTTCTTGTGTGTGGGTTTTTTTGGTTGTTGTTGTTGCTTGTTGTTTGTTTTACATAGAGATGGGTATGTTTCCCAGGCTGGTCTCAAATTCCTAGGCTCCAGTGATCCTCCTGCCTTGGTCTCCCAAAGTGCTGGGATTATAGGCATGAGCCACCATGCCTGGCCCTATATGGTCATTTATATGTGGTAATCATTAATGCTTTTGCCAAATATCCATTTTAGTTTTATCCCCTTCTGGGCATATGTCAGGATTGTGTTTCTTGGTGTTCTTGTGATAGGGTAGAGCCACAAAGCCAGTCCTGGCCGGTGATTTTCTTTGGCGGATGATGTTGGAGCAGCAGTGTAACAAATGCGTGCCGGTCACTCACTACCTGCAGGGTCCAATTCACAAGAGTGAGGTCCGGTCTAAAGAAAGTGACTTTATTCCAGTGTTTAGCTTAGGGGAAGTACAGGCTCCTGCCTTAAAGGGTACTGCTTCACTTTTGGGGCAGAAAGCAGGGAATTTTAAAGGGGATTTGGCATGAATGACATGCATGGGAGGGAATGAGCAGGTGCAGGGTCTACGTGACTCACTTTGGTGCCTTATGTACCAAGTGGTCAAGCTGCTGCCACTGCAAGTTGTAAAGGGGCTATTGCCTCAAGATCCCCTCCGGGTGGGAGACAGTTCCCTCACGGGCGTACTTTAGGTTGTAAATTGACTGTTGTCTCTCAGATGATCTCCTGATGGAAGAGAGCTCCCGTTCTGGAGCTTCTAAGTCAGCACATAGGTAAGCTTGCTGTGAAGGGAGTGTCTTCAGGTCTGTGTCCTTCTGCACACTCAGGGAAATCCATTTACCTTTTGTAGCTCCTGGAGGCTGCCACATTCCCTGGCTCATAGTCCCTTCGTTCTTCAAAGCCAGCCATGGCTGGTTGAGCCTTCCTCATATCACATCATTCTGACACCCACTCTTGTTAACAAAAGACCATGAGGTCCACAGAGAAAGGAAAGGAGAAGACTTTATTTTCAGAGGGAGAAGCAATCGTGGATTGAGGAACACAGCTTCCAGGGACAACGGAAAGTACACGCTCTGCAGAAGGAAGGCGGAGCTTGTATATGTGTCTTACAGGGCCAGCCTTACTTGCATATTGAGCAGGGTTGGGGACATTCTATGAATATTCATGAGGGATGGCTGGCACATACACGGTGGGTTAAACGTCTATAACATACATTCTATTCACTTTGGGATGGGGTTTTAGGCATTAAAATGAGGTAGAATTTGGCTCTTGATCGCAAAAGGTAAACTGTAGGACACAAAGACAGTTTGTGCACAGTCTCTATAAGCTAAATGGCTACAACTGGCTTGAGGTCTGCAGCATTTATCAATACAGAAAGTTTATAAGACCAGTCCTCTGTCGAAGCAGAGTTGTGGTGGGGAGGGTGGGGCGACTGGGGACTGGGTATGCAGGAGGCGGGTGGGGGGGTTGGGTCAGCTAGAATCTTGGGGTCATTTGGGAAATTTTCCAGCTGTAGTTGTTTGGGCAGTGCTTTTCAGGAACTGGTTTCTGCTTAATTACAGGAAATAAACCTTATGGCCGTTATCAACACTGGGATTTGTGACTAATCCCCCATCCTGCTGGCCATGAGATTCTGTTTTTGGTGTGTCTCATTTTAGCCGCAAGGAGTCAGTCCACTTTGTCTGTTTGTTGGGGGTATATTGTAACACTCTTTTGCCTCCCTCTTCCACATTTAAGGATCTGTTAGGAATCCAAAATGCTCATTCCCTGGTGCCATAAAGAAATAGCACTTGAACATAAATTTAATTATCTCAGCAAGGCAATTTTTACTTTCTGCAGAAAGGGTACACTCACCAGCCACCTTGCCATGAGAGTACACCAAACAAAGGAAAAGCAGACATATTTATCCCTTATGCATTTGGGTCATCCTTACTGCTGTGTCCTGCATCCGTTGGCTGGAGCCAAACCTCATAGTCTAAACTGTTACCTGATTTGCTAACAACCTAAAACTTTCTTAAATAGGTAAAGGCAAGGGAGAACAAAGGAAAGGAGGAAGTTGCTTACAAAAGATTTAAGGAAGCAATAACATTTCCAAATAAGGCAGGGGCATAGACTGTGAGCTGGAATGTGCCTGTGAGCATGTCTAACAGCTATATAGGATATATAACTTAACAAAGAGCTATTAGCACAAATCAAGGAGGTTTGAAGAAAGTTAGTCTTTAAAATAAACTATTCTTTCTTTTTTTTTTTTTTTTTTTTCCTGAGACAGAGTCTCACTCTGTTGCCCAGGTTGGAGTGCAGGTGGTGCGATCTCAGCTCACTACAAGCGCCGCCTCCCAGGTTCACGCCATTCTCCTGCCTCAGCCTCCTGAGTAGCTGGGACTACAGGTGCCCGCCACCACGCCCTGCTAATTTTTTGTGTATATATATATATTTTTTAGTAGAGATGGGGTTTCACTGTGTTGGCCAGGATGGTCTCGATTACCTGACCTCGTGATCCACCCACCTCGGCCTCCCAAAGTGCTGGGATTACAGGCGTGAGCTGCTGCACCTGGCCTGAAAGAAACTATTATTTCTAACACTTATGATTTATTTTTTAACAAGAAGGGAAACTTTGAAGAGGAAACTTTTTACTTTCTATAGATCTTTATGATTACATTGGGCCCACCTGCATAATCTAAGGTGCCCTTTCTATTTTAAGGTCAGGAGATTGGCAACCTTAATTCCCCTTTGCTATGTACTGTAACATATTTTAGGTTTTGAGGATTAGGACTTGGGCATCTTTGGGGGGCCATTATTCTGTCTACCAGGGTCACTCAGCTTGGCCTGTGGTAGGAGATGGTGGTGATAACCATGATAGTAGCGGTGATGAGGCTCATAGTCCTTATGAGTCTTGCTTGAAGCTATAGGTTAGTACCTTCCTGATTTTTACATAGTGGGTGTCCTACATTTTCCAACCTTCCAGAATTGCCCTTTACTTAATCAAAGAAAAGAACATGTTCCGCAGCCAGAGGAATTCTAGCCCCTTTCCAAATTGCCAAGAATTCCTGGAAGCACATCCACCCTCACAGTCACCGGTCTCCTCCCACTTTGCTGCTCCCAGCTTCTCCTGGATCTCTCTGGCTCCTCCATCACAGACTCTGCATACCTTCTACTCCCTCTGAGGTTTTTCCTCCCAAACAGGGACCCTCCCATCATTCTGGAGGCTACCTGGAGAGAACCAGGTTAGAATGTTTGATTAACTCCACCGAAGGCCTGAAGATCCTTGTAAGGACTTTAAAGTGCAGGAGGGGAGAACTTCATCTAGTACCTAGTACAGAGAACTTCTTGAATCTTTGGTCACACCAGTGTCAAGGGAGGCCTTTACTTAAAGTCTTCCTCCTTGAGCCAAGCTTAAATTCTCTTCTCTGAAGTTCTCTGAAGCCCCAGGCCTCAAATTGCTCCTTCTAGGACCACCAAAGGAAACAGAAACCCTTAAATATTGACTTTATTATGCAGAGCATTATAGCCCCTTTGGTCTCCAAGAGCTTACTTCAGCCTGATCTCAGGGACTTACCTTTGCATAACCAGAGGGCCAATTAAGATGTTTTTCCCAAACAAAAGATATATTCTTTCCCAAGATGAATTCTTCTCCCACTCTTGGAATGTACAAATGCTGCAGTTGAAAAGTACAACAAAGCAAAAACAGCTCCATTTATTTCTACTTCCATTATTTACCACAGAAATAAGTAGTATTAGTATGTGTGTTGTGGTGCAAAATACTTAAATTTTATATCACAACAGGCATACCAGTTGTATTAGTCCATTTTCATGCTGCTAACAGAGACATACGGGAGACTGGGCAATTTACAAAAGAAAGAGGTTTAATAGATGCATAGTTCCATTTGGCTGGGGAGGCCTCACAAACATGGCGGAAGGCAAGGTGAAGCAAGTCACATCTTCCATGGATAGCAACAGGCCAAGAGAAAGAGCTTGTGCAGGGAAATTCCTCCTTACTAAGCCAACAGATCTCGTGGGACTTATTCACCATCATGACAATAGCATGGGAAAGACTTGCCCCCATGATTCAATTACCTCCCATGAGGTCCCTCCCATGACACGTGGAAATTAAAGATGAGGTTTGGGTGGGGACACAGCCAAACCATATCACCAATGTGCACACATGACTTAAATAAAAGAAAAAATACCTATTTCTACTATTTGGGATACACACCTTGATATTTTCCATTCTGTTCAAATTTTAAAATGCTGAACATGATTCACATAGGAGAACAAAATATGCCACCCCAAAATATGACCATAGGAGACCAGATTATGCCACTGTAGGGGAGTGAAAATTACTTCCTTCCACCCTTCTAGGTCCCTTGGCTGGGCTATGAATTAAATTGGCATAAGACAGATTAACAGGAGAAAAATCATATTTAATTATGAACATACACACAGAGTCTCACAAAATATGACTCAATAAAGACTGATGATTGGAGCTTATATGGCATCCTGAGCTATAGAAGGGAACGGGGGCTTGCAGCTTCTGCGGGTGTGGTGGCCACACAAGTTATGAGAGAACGAGGGGAGGAAATGTATGGTGAATAAAGGTCTTCTTATTATGCAGATAAAAGTCTCCCAGGTTGGCCAGGCAGCAGCTCACTCCTGTAATCCCAGCACTTTGGGATGCCAAGGTGGGCAGATCACCTGAGGTCAGGAGTTTGAGACCAGCCTGGCCAACGTGGCGA